GAGGAGATGGGAATTGGGGGCATGGCTTTGGGGTGTATATATTTGTATTTGGCGAGTGGAGTCTCTCTCTGCTTCCTGATCATCATGTAAGCTGCTTCCCTCTGCCACACTTTTCCTCCATGATGTTACCTCACTTCAAGCCCTGAGGAATGGAGCTGGCCTTCTAAGGACTAAGACCTCTGAAACTGTGAGCCCCTAAATAAACTTTTCTTCCTCCACAAGTATTCTAGTTTAGTTTTTTAGTCACAGTGGCAAAATAGCTGACTGAAACAAAAAGTTAAAGTCTATAAAGGTAAAATAATTTATAATATACCTATTCCATATAATTTGTGAATAGATGATCATTTATAATAAGTTTTTAATTTTTTACACAAAAGCATCTCTAAAAAACTTTTTAGTTATATATGGGCACAATATCTTTATTTTGTTTATTTTTATATGGTGCTGAGGATCGAACCCAATGCCTCACATAAGAGAGGCAAGTGCTCTGTTACTGAGCCACAACCTCAGCCCTCTTTTTTTTTTTGCTCCTGGGATTGAATCCAAGGTTGCTTAACGACTGAGCAACATACCCAACCCTTTTTAATATTTTATTTAGAGACAGGGTTTCATTGAGTTGCTTAGAGCCTTACTAAATTGCTGAGGCTAACATTGAAATTGCAATCCTCCTACCTCAGCCTCCCAAATCACTGGAATTACAGGCATGTGCCACCTTGTCTTACTCAACACATAAGCATCTTGATTTCCTATTTTGTAGGGTGGAGTGTGAGCCACACAATGTAAAGTTTTGTGAAAAGTAGTTATAATGGGGAGTTCAAATGCATTTCCAGGTTCTGAGACAACCTTTCTATTTCAAGGTCTCATTTTCTTATACTCACTAGACAAAAAAGCTTGATTTTTAGAGCTACTTTCTGTCCTTAAGTCATAATATAGGCGGTGAACATTGATGAAAAATTTTGAGATTATGGATTAATTTTCAAAACCTAAGGTTGTAGCTCAGTTTGGTCATTTCTCTTTAGATATCATTGTGGTGTGGTGGGGAAATCTAGCAGAAATAACCTGTGTTTCACACAGTTAAAAGTCAGCCCATAATTCTTTTGTGGTAGGTTACTGACCCTTGCTGTATTTGACGATGCTTATTTATTTTCTCTTTTTATCTTTAGTAAGAGTTGTACTTATTCCTGTGGGCCAGGAAATTATAATGCCTTTTAAAGTTGACACTATTTTTAAACACCTCAAGGATCACTTTTCACACTTGTTACATATCCCACCTTCTGTACTGCAGATAAGTTACAAAGGTAAGTTTGAAGGTTGATAAACTTATTAAGGTTTCTCCAGTTTTAGTATGTAAACAGTCAAGACCTTTGATTTTTTTTTAAACTAAATATCTACATATTTACTATTTTAGCATTAACTTGTGGATATGTATTTATTCATTTAATTCCTTTTTATTAAAGACATTTGATTCTAGATATTTTGCTGATAGTGAAGGATAACAGAGAAACATGAAACACGATTCCTGTTCTCAAATTGCTTACAGACTAGTAAGGGGGAGAATTGCATGCAAGAATTTCCATGTAACGTACAAATGCTTTATTGGAAATCTGCACAAAGAGCTATGAGAATAGGAAGGAAGAAACCTGGGAGATTATGGAATGTTTCAATTTATAAAGGTGATATTTGTGCTAAGTCCCAAAGAGATTAGAAAAACTGGAGCTTTTAGGAAGTGATAAGACATTTTGAGTGGCTGGAAGTAGATTTTGTATGTGGGATGGGAGGAGCTGAGATTGAAGAAATAAGATAAGGATAATGTATAGAACAAGAAGACTGAAAATGGTTTCTGAATATTGTATATGTTAAGGTCATTCCTGTGATGTCTGGTTTGTTTATATTTTGTGGATGATATTGAGAAGCCCCATTGAAGTTATATTAGTCTTGAATCATGATTGATCATGATTGGACATAGTCTTTGTAACTGTGATAGAGAACCAGACTAACCTAGCAAAAAATGTTTTTTTTACAATGTGTCTGAACAAATTCTAATATTTTAGTTTTAAAAGTCTTGGTATTGACTTATAAAGATGCTACACAATGTTTGCAGAGAAAAAAGAAGTTTCAAAATCATTTTTTAAAAAATCAATTTATAGTGAATATACTCCAAAAGTAAGATTTGTGCAAATAGCACATTTAAAGCCTGACCAAGGAAACAAGGCTAAAGTTTAAATAATTGTTAGTCATAATAATAATAATGATCATCATGATTAGTTTATTTTTTGAACCCTTACTATGTGTTAGTATGTCTGCAAAATATTTTGACTACATTATCATTTAATCCACACAGCAACCCTTTGATGTAGGTAATATTATTAACTCTTTCTCTGAGAGAAGGAAACTGAAACTCAGGGAACTTTTTTTTTTTTTTTTTTTTTTTTTATAAAATCACATGACAGATAAGTAGCAGAATCTGAACTGAAATTGGAGGTATAACTCCAAAGAGGGAAGTAGCAATTGCTGGGCATTAACTCAAAGGTAAAGTTGAAAGTTAGAGAAGAGAGCACTTTGTGACTGTAGTAGATGGCCAGTGGTACTCAGGGATCCCTGCCCTCTTCACCTTTCTTCTTTGTAAGTACCAGATATTATCACTGAGTAATAAGTTTATGTTGGCAGCAATTATAGAACAGCTCGATTTGATGCCAGCCATCCTCTAAGATAGATGATTTCTCCCAGGACTGGAACTGGAGCTCAAATTTGATGGGACTGCACTCTCTAAAGAAATCAATGGAGGAAAAACCAGAGCTCTAGGAACCTGTATCAGTTTTCTAGGTCTGTTGTAACAATGAATCACAAACTTAGTGGCTTAAAGCAGCGCATGTGTTTCTCTTACACTTGTAGGGGCCAGAAATCTTAGATCAGTCTCATTAGGATAAAGTTGACGTTTCAGTTGGCCTTTCTCCCTCTGGAAGCCCTAGGGGAGAATCCACCTCCTTGCCTTTCCAGCTTCTAGAGTTGCATCTCTTGGATTCGTTGGTTCATTGGCTTCCTTGCATATTCAGAGCCACAGAATAGCAGATGCAGCTCTCTCTTTGCTTTGGTCATACTGTCTTGTCTTTTCCTCTGTAGCCAAATCTTTTTTTTTTTTCTTTTTATACAAGGGCACACATAAGTACATTTAGGGCTCAATAAGATACTCCAGGATAGTCGCTGCATCTTAAAATCCTTAATCAAATCTGCAAAGTCACTTTTGCTATAAAGGTAATATGATGTGGACAAATTTGGGGCTATTATTCAACAAAGCCCATATGACATTCAAGTTAATTTTAAAAATTAAGAATGTAGGATGTGAAATTGAAATTCACAAATCTTTGAGTGTGTTTTCTCAAATATAGCCAAAGTAGTTTTGTGCTGTCTGATATATTTGTGGGTATAGCTTTTGTTATGTTCAAGTTCAAAATTGTAATTGAGGAAGACCATACATTTGAAGATTGATAGATTCCATCAATGAAGATTCCATGAGACAAAACAGCAGCCAGTAACGTAACATTATTGCATCTTCATATGCCGTGAAACAGAGAAATGTGATCAGTTAATTTTTTAAATACACCAATGGCAGGGTGGAATAGAGAGAGGGAAGAAGATAAAGTAGTACAACCACGACAACAAAAATAAAGCAAAGTTCACTTTTTTTCAGTACAAAAGTGAGTCTAGTCTCCACCTTGGCATTAATTTATGTGTGTTTCTGACTATGGTAGGAGAGACAGGAAGGGATTATTTAGAATTCCGAGTCTATATTTATAAACACCAGAGGGTGAAATGAATATTAAAATAATTATGCTTCCCCTGGAATGGATATGTGTAATATTTACATATAATATATGTGAATTTTCACAGTCAGTGTTTATAGTATGTGGTTCTGCTCATGCTATAGAATGCTTTTATTTTTAAATGTCTATAGAGTTTCATGATTATTATATTTATATATCTGAAGACATGAGAATTGTAGTTTTATTTATAATGCTGAATTTCAGAAGAGGAATGCTGCTATAATCCTTCCTATTGTAGAATTTGATTTTTATTTTTTATTAATTATTATTTTAATTATACATATTTATGGGGTACAGTGTGATAATTTAATACGTGTATACAATGTATAATGATCAAATCAGGCAACATTTATTTTTCCTTAAAGATTAAAATTGTTTTGACTAATATGTAAAAATTATACATATTTATGAGAAACAATGTGATGCTTCAAAATGCACACATTGTGTACTAATTAAATCAGGATAATGGATATTTCCATTTCTTTATCATTACTTTGTATTCAAAGACTTTAAGCTCTTCTCTTTTAATTTGCATAAAATATATAGTAGGATATTATGAACTATAGTCGCTGTTATGGTATTTTCTGTACTATTATTACAGCAAGAGATGGAAAACATTCATACTATATTTAGTGATTAAGTGATATGTGTTCCTACAAGCACCTGGGATATTTTCCATCACCTTAAAATGAGTACATATGATTAGCCATTTCTAGAGACTGTTGTACATCATGGTGACTACATAGTTAATAACCATACACTGTATACTTGAAAATTTCTAAGGGAATAAACTTTAAGTGTTCTCACCATACAATTAAAAAATTATGTGAGGTAATACTTATATTAGTTTGATTTAGTCATTTCACAATGTATACATATATAAGAAATTCATGTTATACACTATCTATTCATATATAATTTTATTTCATAACTAAAACAACAACAAAAATAGCCATTTTTTGTCATAAAACTTCTTAAAATTTTTCAGGAATAATTTTTAAAAATAATGAGACTTTAATACAACATGGAGTTAAGCCACAGGAAATTATACAACTGGAACTCTTTTCTACAAATCCAGATCAATATCCGATCAAAAGGATAGAGGGATTAAATGATGTCTCTCAAATCCTAACTGTCACTGTACAAATTGGTGAGTTATTTGATTGTCTTTCAGATAAACTATGTTAGTTTTTCTTTGTAACTGAACTTCCATTCAGTCTTGGTTTTTATCTCCTTAGGCATTAATCAGTACCAGGTGGTAACTGTTGAGATTATAAAGTCTGATTTTCATAAGCCATTTCTTGGTGGATTTAAGCATAAAATAACAGGAATAGAATATCACAATGCTGGAACCCAAACTGTACCTAAATATATCCGAGGGGGAAAAAAAACATTTTCCAGGGACACCCAGGTAATCAACAATTGTTGTATACTATATGACTTTCTCAAATTCTCCTCATTTATTATGTGGCAATTAAGATAGTAAAAGCAAAATTTACTGGACTGAGTAGAAAAATATTCTCTCTGTTGTATTTGTGTATTTTCACAGTCAGTGTTTATAGTATGTTTAAGTATGTATACTTACCTAAATGTTTTGTTTTTACTTTAGACAGTTTCTCAGAGAAAAAAGCTCCAACAAACTACAAATACAACATCCACACAAATGTCTAAAATTGGTGTGTATGTATCAAATATAACTGATAAACTGTTAAAACCAGGGGATTATTTTTCAGCAGCAAAATACCATGCTCGAAGATTCAATGCGGTAAGATAATTTCATTGTGAATAAATACTAAAAATTAAATATATAAAGCCAGTTGTTCTGTGTGTGTTTTCCTAAGCCACACCAGCCTGAGTAAGAACCCATATGTGTATGGGTCATGTTTCATGGATAGTCAATGCAGACCTATTTCCAATATCCCTCTGTATAAGCAACCCAGACCCTAAGTGCTCCTAACCCTTCCCTTGTCTTTAGGGACTCTCAGGTACCTTTGGCCATTATTAGCTTCCTCAACACTTCTGTCCCTTGGCCTTAACCCGTCCTTGTCACAGTAGAATCATGTAGGGAGCTTGCCAGACTATTTGAAACTCAATAGAACAAGAGTGCACAAGAGAGTTAGCCACCCTAACTGGTATCACTTATACAATTCATCTTTTTCACCTTTTAACTTTCAACCTATTTGATCTCTTATAGAGAGCATATAGTTGGATCTACCTCCTAGCATTATTTTGAGAGACAGACCTGGAATACAAAAAATTCAAGTCTGTGGAGCCATCATCCTGAGGGAGACCACTCACTGCAGGGAAAGCTTTGAACCTGGTTTATCAGTCCCAGTTACTCCAGCCTGATGAGTTTTTGTTTTTAATCTAAATTAATATTTGCCCAACAAGGGAAAAGATAGAGTTGTGAGATTTCAGGGGAAATTGAAATGCAGGTAGAATTTAAGCAAAGTAATCTCTTGATCTTCTGTGTACAGGAAGGCTGTATACAACATCCACACAAATGTCTAAAATTGGTGTGTATGTATCGAATATAACTGATAAACTGTTAAAGCATGTAAGTGGGTCAACATCAAGGTCTGGATTGCAAGGTGAACCAGGATTCTGTTCTCTTGGGAATGAAATTAAAAGAGCTATAGAAGTTATCTCTGAAGTTCTCCAAGTTCATTACCCGTGGTTGAAAATCAAGGCTGCCTTTCCCTGTCAAGGTGATTTAGAGCCTTTTTGACAACACTGGGATGCTTTTGTTCTTACTAATCTAATTTCAAGCAATAAAGTTTCTTTGAGTTTATGATTTGAGAGGAGAAAGTCTGTCAGTGAGTAAGAAAATAGTTACTCAAAGAAAGAGGGATTGCTATGACATTTTATAGCTGCAGAGCATCCTTGGGAGAAATATTGTTTCCTGTTAGCTTTGTGGCTGTCTTGATTAGTGTCACTTATTACAGTGAAGTGTTTTTTTTCGTTTCTCAGTCCAAACTAATTTTTACTTTCTTTTTGTTCTGGTTTTGGATGGTAATTTACTGTAACCTCAGGAACCTGCACTCCAATTATCTTCCCACTCTTTTACAATCTCACCATGCATAGAGTATTACTGTATGGTGACAAAATGGTTGACTCTTCTCATCACATCTGCATTCTGTGTAGGAACAAGAGGGAAGTCGAGGGAGCATGACCCATGAGCCCTCCTCCTGAAAACCTTACCCAGTGACATGTGCTTTCATGTCATTGGCCTGAGCCATGTCCTGTGATGTCCCTCCCGAAGGAGTAAATGCTAAGTGCATTTATTAATTAATATATTGTTCCTCCAGAAAGCTGAGATCTTCTTAGTAGGAGGAAATAGAGGACATAGGATATTAGGTAGAGAAGTAGCTCTCTTTGTACTACTTTCCAAATGCCAATAAAATGATATTAAAGGGAAAAAATTCCTATATATAGCAAAGAATATAAGAGAAAAGAGAAGAGTAAATATCAGTTGACTTTGTTGAAGTTGTAAAGCAAATGGAGTGTGTAACTTGGCTTACTAGAGCAGTTACAATCTAAATGCCTGCCAAGAGGGATGGCATCAAGACCCACATACATTGGCCCCAGAGGATCTTGGAAGATGGGTTGGAGATTTTGTGGGAGGTCAAAGTGAGGAGTGGGCCGTGAACTGTTAAAAGGCTATACGAGGAGTCAATTTCCATTTAATAAGTCCTTTTATGCTCATTGATTTCCTTTCCACTTGGGTCATGTTTATTTTATTTTTAAAAGAGGTTTTAGAATTCAATGCTTAATAGTTCTTGTTTTAAGCAAGATTATATTATGTGTGGTTGATATTTTTGTATTCATTTCTGCCATCTCATCTTGTTAATTTACTAATCATTTTTGTTTGTTTATTCTTTTTTGTTGGCTTGATCAGCTTTTTCATGTTTTTATTTTTTCAAAATTTAGAGTAGGTAATTTACAAGTTAATATGCATTTTCTACTAGTTACTAAAAAATTGTTAAACATGCCTATTTTGTTTTTATGCCAAATGCATGATAATCCCACTGTATTTCCTTTCTGTGAACAGAACCTTAATATGCATTTATTTTCTTCCTTTCTTTTTCTTTCCTCCCCTATTCCTCCTATACAGTGAGGATTTAGAATTATAAGTAAAGATAATTTACAATATAATTATAATTCTAGATTGTTATTTTAAATATTTGCTTTGATTCATATATTTGTTTTTCTGAATAAATATATTTAGCTTCATAAGTCTTTTTGAAGCCTTTTTCCCCTGCTTTAATTTTCCTGCTTGAATTTATTATTCTTGCTGGAACACACTTTCGAGTAATTCCTTCAGAGACTATGCATAGGGAGTGAACCATGAAAGTCCTTATTGAATGAACCTCATATGTGGGTTTTAATTTGAGTGGGTTTGAAAGGTTAGTTTCAAGTTTATTTTCAGAATTATTTTCCTTTGTAACTTTTGAAGCCATATTTGACAGTTAGATATTGATCTAATTCTAATTTCTTTGTTTCCTCTTTCTATGAGCTTTTAGGATTTTCACTTTATCCTTAGTATTTTGTAATGTTATCATGCTGCCTTTGAAACTTTGTAATGGACCCTTTCTGAGAACTCATGTCTTGCTTTGGGAAATGTTCTTCTATTTTATTTTGAGTAATTTCTGTAATCAAATTTCTTCATTCCGTCTGTAACTTGTATCCGACATGTTTTGGAATGACTGGATTTATCTTTCATGTTTCTGAGTTTCTGATTTTCTCTTCATTGCTTTCTAACTTTTGTGACCTTTCCTTCTGAATGCTAAAAGATTTTCTCACCTAAGTTTCTGCTTATTAATTCCTTCTCAGTCTCTACATTCTGCAGATCAGATTATAACAAATCTCTGCCAATATTCTTTCTTCCCTTCTCCCATGTACTGAAGCTTTAACTGGGCACATGGCTGTCCAGAGAAGATGACATTTCCAAGCTCCCTTGTAAATCGGGGGGGGGGCATGTAGCTAAAGTCTAGACAACAGGGTCTGCAGGGCAGTGATGTGAGGCACTTCCAGGAGTTACTCTTGAAGTGTTCTTTGTTCCTTTCCCACTACTTACTGGCTGGAAGATGATGATAAGTGGATCAGCCAAGTGAGACATACAAGTAGGAAGCAATTTGTTAACTGCTGTGGCAGAGCTTTCCTACCAACCCTAAACTGCTCGCCAGTGAGCAGATGGACATATGAGAGGGGAAAATTCCTGTTATTTAAACAAATCTTGTTTTGGTGTCTTTAATAAATTTTAAAAATTTAATAACCACCCAAACTGACACATATTTTATTGTTTCTTTTTTTTAATTTTCAAGATTTTTCCACAGTCCTTTTTTGGTTTTTGTTTTTAATCTTGTTTTATACGGATGGACTTTTACACTGAAAACACTAACTACCTCTAGTCTTGTTTTCTGTTTTATTTTACTTTAATAAAATGGTTCTAAAACTTCAGCTTCCACATCCCCTGGAGAGTTGTGATCTGCTGGGCAGGGGGCTGGGGGAGGGTGCTGGAAGCTGGTTGCCTGCTGATACTTTTCTAGGTAATGCCCATACTGCTGGTCTTCCCACTACTCTTTGAGAATTACTCTTCTACTAATTCTGTTTCAAGCAAGAATAAATTGTTCTTTTGGGTGAGGGGCTTTTTATTTTGTTGGCTCTTCTCAAATGCTTGGTTAGACTGGGGTATCTACTCTCAGAAGATTTGAAATTTTTAACTCATTTTGTTCTATCATCCCAGAAGTGTAATACCTATAAAAACTTGAATATAGTATATAATACATAATTAGATAATAATATAATTATAGTACTCATATGTAATAATATTAATTAATATAATAAGATAAATGTTCTAGGTTATGATTTCCAACCTATTTTAATTCACCTTTGTTAATTTCACTTAAATATTCACGGAATTGGAAACGTGGAACCTAATTTGCTAATATGCAGTGTGCTAACAGCATGTTTACCACTTTCTAATCCCAATGGTTTTACAGTATAAGGCTTGATTCTGGGATGGAGCTATTTTTCTGGATAGGGCGTTTCGATACATCCTCAGTCTCACCAGCCTTTGGGCACACTAACCACTCTTGCCTAGGGGTACATATTTCTGTTGCTGTTTACCTAAATTGTTTAATAGGAGCATGTCCCATTTGCATTTTTCAGGCAGGTACTGGGTTGGCTGCCCTTCTGCTCAGAGAATCTGCCAGTTTGGGTCATGAAGCAGTTCCAGGGCCACTTGTCTGACTTCTAGCTTTTCTCTCCTGTGCACCACTAGGCTATAGATTCCTTCTTTAGTATGTTCCATCTGTCTCTTTGCTTGAGGGGATTCTTTAAAATTTCTATTCCCTCGGATGACCCATTCAGTATGATCCATTGACTTTACTGATTTCTGCTTTACACATTTTGCTGTAATTATCAGACATTAGGAAGCGGGAAAGAAATGTGCCAGCATGTTTTGTCCTCAGTCTTGTTGCAAACTCTCACATTTTATTTGAGTTTATAAATAAAGTTATAAAACTCTGTTATATCATGAAGTTTTGAGGGGTTAATACTATGAAATACTGCCAAATAAGTTTCCATTTCATATAATTTAATTCTTCTTTATGTCTCTCTTTTATCTAATCCTTGCTGGTTTCCACATATACCTGTATGTGTTTAGGAAATATAGTTTTGTTTTAAATATGTGCCTTAGCTTATGGAAATTAAGATGAGCTAGAAATAACAAAAAATTCATAAAAATTATAGTATAAATTGAGGATTTGTAATGTGATGTACCAGACTTGGGCTAAGCTGTTTCTTTCTTTTTTGCACTAGAGATTGAACTCAGGGACACTTTACCACCAAGCTACATCCCTAGCCCTTTTAATTTTTTTTTGCCACATCCCAAGCCATTTTAATTTTTTTTTTTTGAGACAGTGCCTAAGTTGCTGAGCCTGGCTTTGAATTTGCAATCCTCCTGCATCAGCTTCCCAAGCATCTGGGATTACAAGCATGCACTATCATGCCTGGGAGGCTGAGCACTTCCTAAGCATACTGTTATCACTGTTTATGAGAGTCCTAAAGTAAAGAAATGGCAAGAAACTTGCCCCAAATAAATCTACTTACTAAGTAGCAGAGAGGAATTTCAAATTAAGTCTAACTCCAGAGTCTGTACTCTTAAGCATTATACCAACAGCCTCTGTGAAGGTGTATTTGCTAGATTACAAGACAAATAGCAGTGACATGTGTTATCTGTGGCTTCTATGTTCGTATATGTAAGAATATCTAACACTGAGCTAAAATCACACTCAGCACTGTTTTATTGCTGAATTGGCATTGAAATAATCATTGTTGCCTTTCTTTATTGTCTGATCAAAAAGTTGATGGTAGGCACTTTATTTCCTTTTAATTTAAATCCAGGCGATAGTAATACAGACTCGCTACAGGCAATGGCATGCTAAAGTCTTTGTAAGGGAACTAAAAGAACAGAAAAAGTTGAGGTTGGAGTGGGAAGCCCAAGAAGAACTACGGAAAATAAAAGAAAAAGAAGAATGGACACAATTGGACTATCACCGGAGGCATAATCCTAAAGCAAATGAAGACTTTGAACTTCTTTATAATGCACTAAACTGTAAGTTTGACATAGGTTTTAAATAAAATATTAACTTAGAAATTTTTCATTAATAGGTAAACAGTTTTACTGAAGACAAAAGAAAGGCATGTTAGGGAGAAGTCTTGGGAATCTGATCTGAAGTTAGATGAATACTATCTTACATTTGGGACAGAAATTAAGGCTGAAACAACATTAAAAATGCTTTTATGCTAACAAATGTGCATATTTTGTGTCAACTATATAGTTTAGGTATATTGAGTAATTTGATCCATATTCACGTGAGAGAGAGGGAAAGCACTGTCTCACCTGGTTTTCTGATGCTTTGGGCAGTTTGTGAACTCAGAGGTGAGCTGTTTAAATCCCCCAATCCAGCATCCTGTGACTGTGCTCTTTAGAGAAGGTGCTCAATGATACCTTTTATCCCCCCCAATAATAATAATAGTGGATGATTTATATCCTATTTCTTCTACAGTATGTGTGTTAGTCACTGGTAAATGAAAAGCTTCAGTTACTTGAAAAAGGGTGACAGACACACCTCTGCCTTTCTTGAAGCCCTTTCCCAATGGCCTATCCTCCAATCTCAAGACACACCTCTGCCTTTCTTGAAGCCCTTTCCCAATGGCCTATCCTCCAATCTCAGGACAAATGTCAACTACTCAAGGGTTTTGTGACTGACAATGTAACTTGGATATACTATTTGTCATCTCGTAATCCTCACCCTACCCTTTTCATTTATATAATAACAATTCATAACAATACATCTTTTAACATTTATTTATTGACTGATTCTTTTTAGTTATTTATTACACTAGAGGATACATTTTGACATAATCACAAAAGCAGGGAATATAATTTGCTTCTATTCAGTCCCCAGCACTTCCCCCGTCCTCCCTCTACTCACTCTCCTCCCTTTACTCTACTGATATTTCTGCAATTTATGTTGTTTTTTTTTTTTTAAGTCAGTGTCTTACGTCTGAACTTGATGTTGGGATGCACGGTGCTGTATTCATGTATGTACATATGAAAGTGCAGTCAGATTTCATTGCACTCTTCTTCCTTTACCCATCCCTCCTTCATCCCTTCAGTCCCCTTGGTCTAATCTACTAATATTTCCTCTGTTTTGATGAAATTCCCTCTCCTTTGTTCCCTTTTCTCTCTCCCATTGCCCTTATGTTGGATTAGCTTCCGCATATTAGAGAGAACATTTGACCTTAGTTTTGGGGATTGGCTTATTTCACTTGATACGCTCCAGTTTCATCCATTTATTGGCAGATTCCATAATTTCATTGTTCTTTATAGCTGAGTAATATTCCATTATATGTGTGTGTGTGTGTGTGTGTGTGTGTGTGTCTATACCTCTGTTTAGAGTTTTAAACTAGGCTTGGTTGGGTGCAATGACAAACAACTCTGAAAAATACTGAAAAACATGTTGAATGAAGTTCTGCCTTTTCCAATTATTATTAGTGTTAACTGGAACAAGTTACTCACTTCTAAGCCTTAGCTCCTTTATCTATAAAAAGGACACCATAGTTTCTGGCACATCTATTTCAGAAGGCTTTGTAAAGTAAAAAATATAAAACATTATATGTATGAAAGTACTTAAAAAGTGCCAGGGTCTATATGCATATGTGAATTGTTATTTTATGGTAAATAATTTTATTCAAAACTTGTATATCAAAATAGAACACATATGTCACATAAATCTACACGATTTGTATTAAGAAAAACAAAAGTTAAACAAGATTTTTTTTACATGAAAGACATATCTCACTTTCCTTCAATTCTAAAATTATAAATTAAAACACTTGGAATAATAAGTTAAAATTTGTTTCACAAGCTCTTCTATTAAATATAGTTTTCTTCATTCCATATTCCTAACTCTGGTCCTTGAAACTGCTGCCCTCTTGTGGCTCATAGAGACAGTTATATAGTTTAAATTCATAATAGAAAACCACTTTTCCTCAAGACAAGCTGTCTTCCTATAGTCAAAACAAAATGAAGTCAAGTTAAGGAAATAAATGTGACTGAGATGTATTGAAACAAGACCATTTCTAGCCAACATTTGATTTTTATGTCTTTTTTTTCTTATAGCAATATGTTGAGGGTAACTTCCTTCACTACTCTGAATTGTCATGAGGGACAAATAGAGGAAGAAAACAGGTGCTACAAAAGTACCTAGGTATCCTGTATTTCAACAAAAGTCTGAAATAATTGGGGTTGATTAAAAATTTTTAAATTTTTATAAAAGTGGAATTATTTATAAGGAATATTTTCTATCTGACTTTTAAAATCCAGTACTCTATCATGAGATTTTTCCTTGTTATTTGTGAGTTTGTTCATTCTCATTTCTATAGAGTATGCCATTCCATGAATGCACCACAACTGATATATTAATTGTACTGTGGATTTGTCTTTCCACCCCAGTTTTGTCCAGTACAAGTAGTGGTGCACAAATGTCTTTAGGTAAAGATATGTGTACATTTCTCTTGGATGTGGATTTCTAGGAGTAGAACTTCTCATTCGTGGCATAGGCATATATTCAGCGTTAGTGGATCCTGCTAGATGATTTTACAAAGATTGTACTAGTTTATACTCCTTAGAGGAGATTATGAAAATTTTAATTGGTCCGTTGTCCTCTCCAGCATTCACCACTCTGTCTTTCTCATTGTGTCCTTCCTGGAGGGTGTGCA